AGGCCCCAAAAAAAAAAAAAAAAAAAAAAAAAAAAAAAAAAAATCAACCACAAAATACCTCATGTAAAATTTAGAATTGCTTTGGTCTGAAAATTAATAAATGGAAAATCATTTAAGATATGGAGCCCCCCAATACACAAGCTCGAAAGGTAACAGAATGGAAAACCAACTACAAAGTCCTCAATTCTGAGCATATTATAGTGATTGTGGCATCCTAGGATTCAGCTAAAACAATAAAAACTAACCAAATAGAGTGAAAGAAATTGTCTAAGTTGAAAAAAAAAGTATATTGAGATGAGATAGCCAAGATTACCAAGATTTATTGATGAAAGTTCCTCACACAAATGAGTAGTAGTCTCACCCCCATTGTTCACTTTCTCCATCCTTAGTCTTTGTACTTGATCATTCTGAAAAACTTTTTTTGCTGAAGTGTCGATAGCACATGGGGACCTTTTTTTCTGTCATTGATCTATAATTTCAGCAAGGAACACCACTGCAATCACACCTCATTCCATGAGGGCCCCCTTATATGTTCACAACTCGTCCACTGAAGTCTGGCAAGAAGCTAAGTAACAAAGGCAATATTGATAGTTCACTTGTCCTTAGCCAATTTGTAGAATCCTATCCCAGTTTCAGGAGACCATATGATTCCAGTCATCTCAGAAATATTCAGTTTCATTTATTCATAGGTGAATAGACTTTCCCCCTGCCATATATATACATTCTAATCAATTCCATCAGGGCTATTGTCAAAAAATTCTTGATGCCAATCTTTTTCCCATGTGGAATATACCTACATCAGATTTCCATAATTCTGATTATTTCTAATGACAAGGAAAAATGTTTAATAAATATTTTAGATAGCCACTCCTACCTTCATTAGCTGAAGAAATTTAAACCAATTTTCAACTTCATTTCATGAAGATACATTTCTATTTTGCAAAATGCTAATACTACCCCCAATTACCTAAAGCACTTACTTTATATTTAAAATTTTTAATACATGATTTTTCTTATTTAAAAAATCCTTAAGACTTTTGAATAGAAAATTGGGTTTTAAACAAACCTTTATAGCCCTTTGGGAACAACTGGAAGTGTTCCTGCAGAAAAGCCCTAACATATTAAGCCTATATTTAATCAAATCAGTAGTCATGATGATGAATAAAAGGTAATTCATAGAAATGTAAAACACCACAATTTATCCACATTGTCTTTTTTCCACACTTAATTAGAGTACAAAATTGATCAGGGATAACCAGGTTAAGTACAAATTGAGTGAAGCCCCAATTACATATTATTTTCTTGCTATTCAATTAGCTTCCATTCATCTTGCTTCCCCTACATATTCCTCCCCAACAAATTACACATCCAAGGATTCATGTCAAAAATTGGCAATCCTTGGATCAATACAGTATAACTAGCTTAATTTTTCCTTACCAAATGGAAACTAGCAATTACTGAAAATATTAAAAACTAGCATAAATATTCAGTACATAATTTGAAAAACCATTTTACCTGTTGATTAATGGAACAATAATATTTCATTAGAATGTATAATTTTATTTATTTTTTTATTCACATAAATAGATAGAGGTCTCAATTATTTTTTTAAAAAATCAAGGTACAGCATATTTTTATAAATTAGCAACTTGAAGATGTATGATTGTATCGTCAACATACTTCTTATTTAGAAAACATCTTTGAAAGTATTACTACATTGCTTTTAAGGGCATACCCAGGAATTAGACATGCAAGTTCTATAGATAAACAGAATTCTAGGAAATTGAGAAAAAAGATAAATAGGAAATAGTCTAAATTATACCACATACAATCCTGTTATTACTCTAATGTGTGTGTGTGTGTGTGTGTGTGTGTGAGAGAGAGAGAGAGAGAGAGAGAGAGAGAGAGAGATCAAGCGAGTGCACGTTTGTTTCTCCATTGCTCTATTGGGGAGAGTCTTGGGATAGGTAAACCACTTAGTTAAAAGCTCATCTGCTAGAATAAATAGAGAACTAAAATCAGAAGGCAACACAGGAGAGTTTGTGACAGTGCTGATTTTAGCTGGTGAATTATGAGAAGACCCTGCACTGCTGCTGTTTCTATCAAGAGCATCTGAAGATAGACTAGGAAAAAGAAAATACCACTCATTGATAACAGAATTCAAGAGATCTCTGTGCTTTGTCTACAAATGAATGCAAAACACGTGAAGCAAAGAATTGGCATTAGTTACAAGAGCAGTTTCATAAGAGCAGTAAAACAAAACCAACAGTAACAGTAATAAAAATCCATTCACTGTATTTCCCATTTTGATCATTAAAACTTGCTTTACTGGCACACTTTTAAATAATATTCTCAGTCTAACAAAGCACTCAAAAATCCAAGATAGAAAAAATGGGGCAGAAGATGACTCTTTTCCAAGATTGCATTTTTATGTATATCTCTAATACCTCTTAATCTAATGCCAAAACCCCACTTCTAAAAATGTGTCTAATAAATCACAGCAAGATCCTTTCTGACCCACCTCCTAGAGAAATGGAAATAAAATTAAAAATAAACAACTGGGACCTAATGAAACCTAAAAGCTTTTGCACAGCAAAGGAAACCATAAAAAAGACGAAAAGACAACCCTCAGAATGGGAGAAAATATTTGCAAACAAAGCAACTGACAAAGGATTAATCTCCAAAATATACAAGCAGCTCATGCAGATCAATATCAAAAAACAAACAACCCAATCTAAAAATGGGCAGAAGACCTAAATAGACATTTCTCCAAAGTAGACATACAGATTGCCGACAAACACATGAAAAGATGCTCAACATCACAAATCATTAGAGAAATGCAAATCAAAACCACAATGAGGTATCACCTCACACTGGTCAGGATGGCCATCATCAAAAAATCTACAAACAATAAATGCTGGAGAGGGTGTGGAGAAAAGGGAACACTCTTGCACTGTTGGTGGGAATATAAATTGATACAGCCACTATGGAGAACAGTATGGAGGTTCCTTAAAAAACTACAAATAGAACTACCATAGGACCCAGCAATCCCACTACTGGGCATATACCCTGAGAAAACCATAATTCAAAAAGAGTCATGTACCACAATGTTTATTGCAGCACTGCTTACAATAGCCAGGACATGGAAGCAACCTAAATGTCCATCGACAGATGAATGGATAAAGAAGATGTGACACATATATACAATGGAATATTACTCAGCCATAAAAAGCAACTAAACTGAGTTATTTGTAGTGAGGTGGATGGACCTAGAGACTGTCATACAGAGTGAAGTAAGTCAGAAAGAGAAAAACAAATACCGTATGCTAACGCATATACGTGGAATCTAAAAAAACGGTACCGATGAACCTAGTGGCAGGGCAGGAATAAAGACGCAGACGTAGAGAATGGACTTGAGGACATGGGGGGGAGGGGAAGCTGGGATGAAGTAAGAGAGTAGCATTGACATATATATGCTACCAAATGTAAAATAGATAGCTAGTGGGAAGCAGCCACAGAGCACAGGGATATCAGCTCTGTGTTTTGTGACCACCTAGAGGGGTGGGATAGGGAGGGTGGGAGGGAGTCTCAAGAGGGAAGGGATATGTAGATATATGTATACATATAGCTGATTCGCTCTGTTGTACAGCAGAAACTAACACAACATTGTAAAGCAATTATAATCCAATAAAGATATAAAATAAAAATGTGTCTACCATATATTAATGTCACACATAAGTGTTGGGGAGAAGAACTAAAGTTAATATTATAGTATCCATTTGGGATATTCATTTTTTAAAACTTCTAAAAATATTTCATAATATACCATACTTCTGAGTATATACAATAACCAAAGTAGACTTAAAAACCAAGTTAAAAGTGGTCAATGAATGCTTGAAATCTCATGTTAATACTCACAATACATTCCTATCAGATAGCTGGGTAGTATCAGAAGGAAGCACGTTGGTTGTGTCTTGGAAAAATCTCTTTGGCTGATGTTCAAATGTCATTTCACCTACGACGAAAATGCAGATCAAGGTAGATATATTTTGTCTAACGTGTTTATTATGCTTTTAATTGCAAAAGTAAAACTTGTTCATTGCAATTAACTTATAAAATACAGAAAAACAAAAGGAAAAATATTTTACATCACCATTATCCAGAGATAACCATTTTCCAGTAATTCCTGAATATGTGTATACATGATTTTTTTAAACAAAATTGGATTTGCACTGTATATAATACTGATATGTAATCTACTTTTTGTTTTTAATGATTATAATTTTTCTCATATTAGTAACTAAATTCTACAACATAAGTTTATATAGCTATGTAGTAAGGATGTACCCTAATTTAATCTCATTCCTTATTTTAAAACTTTAAGTTACTGCTCTTCTTATTTTGCTAAACATACACAATGAACTAAATAGATCGATTTTTTTTTACAGCATACAATGAACAAAATAAATACATTTTCAAAGATTAGGGAGAAAAACATAATCTCAAAAAACCACATTGCTATAATCTTCACTTTGAAGTAAATGTTACACATTCATGTGATAACCATGTCTGGATGTGAGTAAAACTGATGATCAAGTCCATAACTTCTATGGTGGAATATATTTGAATGATAAAACACTACGGCCACCTACTCATTAAAAAACATCCCTAGGAATAGAGATTTCCAGACCTTCCTTAGGAGTATAATCATGGCTCATAAAGCTTGAAAGAGGTCTAGGTATTATCCCAGGCCAGATACACTTACACCATTATGGAAAAACTACTCATCTCTCCTTTTTGGTTTAAATTAAAAACAAGACAAATCAAAACAAATTCATCATAGAAGAAAATTAAAATTTTCTTTGCTAAAATCATTATTACTTGTAAAACAATATTTATAGCTGCCCAATCTCTGTAGATCTCTCAGAATTCCCACTTGAAGCCTTATTTTTTCTTGCTTGTTCCCAACGGAAGTAATTGCTGCTAATCACCATAAAATATGCCTTCATATGCTTGGAGACTCTAACCCTTATTTCTCCTCCACTTTACAGAGAGTCCTCATTCTTTTTTTGTTTTTTCCCCCCAGGACCTCTTTTTGATTTTTTTATACTATCTTTCCCCACACTTCACTTGTATTAATGTGATAATTGGACATACTTTGTTGTTTCCCAAATAAATATTCATATTCCAAAATATATAATTAAAATTAAATTTCTGTTTAATCTGTTATTACATCTGGAAAGTCAGATAAACTTTGACCAGATCTGTATAGACTATATTTGGGAGGGTCTGACTTAAAACACATAGACCGTGTAGTACTTACAGAATTTGCTTTGGAGTTCTTAGGGACACCTCAAAGAAGTGAGGCAGTCAACTTCCAGAGCAGCTGAAAACCAGGTACAAGAAGCTCATGTGGAACATGCCACATCCACCAAAACACTGGATGGAAACCAAGTCTATTATGTCAAAATTGAAATATAAAAACAATTTTAAAAATCATAAATTCTAAGAAAATTCCAGGCATTTTCAACGTCATGAAACATTTTATATGTTATCTTAAAAGAAGAATTATTTTAATTCAGTAAAACACTGTCTTTAATTTAAGCGTATTTGATTTTAAATACTCAAAGGCCCCCCCGCAACTTCCTAACAGCTCTTCAACTGCTAATACATTTGAATGTTTTTTCAACATTAGCCCAAACTTCACAGCACAGGTAAAAGACACTTAAGCTAGGTCATTGATCCATTGTCATAAAACAATGTGCTTAGTTTGTAAAAGAGCATTTTCCAGAACTGATCTCTTAGTCTTAGAATATAACGAGTACACGCTGAGTTAGGTATGTTGTTAGGAAGACTGCCATTAATTCATGCCAAATGCAGGGAACACTGCAGTGCATTTCAGTTTCCTTCCCTCTAGTATTGCTCTTCCCCTACCTCTGCCCCCTCCTTCCATTTCTTCTTCTTTCTCCTTCTTCTTTCCCATCTTAATGGATTTTTCACAAATATACATTTTTAAGTTTAATCTCCTTTCCCATTTATCCATTTTCCCTCCCTATTATAGTTTAACTTTGTATTAAGCCTATAATTCAGTAGTCATATCCCAAAAAAGGAAGAAGTACATAGCTTAGTGAGGCAGGGGTGAGAAAGGGGATCCAGAACTGCGGCAGTTTAAAAAAAAAACCACTTCTGTTCTTTCCTTGCCCTTTTATTACTGAATAGGTGGATCATTTTCCATATATTTAACCAAACAGAACCCCCATAAACAACTGAAACATCAACATACACTTTAGCATATATTTTTAGTGCTGTAAGTGGATCTAGTTTGTGTCAACTTATTCATATGATATCAACGTGTACGTGTAGTTATGGGGCAGGTCAGGGGTTGAGATTCAGGAGAATACTTGATGGCTGAATCACTCTATTCATTCATTCCCCACCTTGTTTCAGAAAGTATTTAAGGCAGCTAGCTTGGTGAATTATACAATGAAAATCGTAATAGTTGACTAAACTGGAATTAAAATTTTCAATTCACATTTATATGGCCCTTTATAGCTTTCAAAATGTCTTTACACATAGTTTCATTTCAGTGAAACAAAAGGCCTCTAGTAATTTATCAAATATGTTTTAAATAAATAAATCCTTTAAAATGAATTTTTGTATAATACTTGATTTTATGTGATATCTTATGAAAATAAAGTTATATTTATTTCTGTTGGTAGATAAAAGTACCTTTTCTTTTTAATGGTCCAAGGATACTTGGTCTAATAGTGTTGGTTGGGACTTTGACTTCTTCTAAAATAAAATTATAATCGTTACAAGAAAACATTTGAACAAGATCAGCTGTGACTATTTCGTTATAACAGATCTAAGGATATACACTAAAAGAGGACTGTATGTAGTATCCCACATCACATGATTTCATTGCTTTTCTCTAAATCTAGGTAAAAACAGGAAAGCCTCAGGACAGAAAACTGTCTTGTAACTTATAAGGATTCAGGATTTTCCCAAGTTGTGGGGAAAAAAAGCTAGAAGGACCTGTAGTCCTGGCTGTGACCTGCCTTAAGACAAGGTGAAAATCATGAGTGAATGAGGGGGTATGGTAGTTAAATGTTCATTTGTTCATTCGAGAGTTAGCTCTGATCCTTATGAACAAGCTGGGTCAGAGGAAGGCTATGTTCAGACAGGGTTAATGAATTACTGATTCTTCATATGGTCACATGTTCTCACACATTCTTAGTTGATTCTTTTCAAAAATACAAAGTGGGCTTCCCTGGTGGCGCAGTGGTTGAGAGTCCGCCTGCCGATGCAAAGGACACAGGTTCGTGCCCCTGTCTGGGAGGATCCCACATGCCACGGAGCGGCTAGGGCCCGTGAGCCATGGCCGCTGAGCCTGCGCGTTCGGAGCCTGTGCTCCGCAACGGGAGAGGCCCGCGTACCGCAAAAAAAAAAAAAAAAAAGACCAAAACGATGACATTTTAATTTAGCTAAAAAGACATTACTTGTTTGGTTGTCACAGAACCTGGAGCTACAATTTTTTTTTTTTTTTTTTTGGCTGCACCGTGCAGCTTGCGGATCTCAGTTCCCCAACCAGGGATTGAACCCGGTATAACTTTTCTCAGAAAGCAGATTAGTGGTTTCCTAGGGTGGGCAGGGGTGGGGGGAGGAGATCAAGTGTGAAAGATCACGAGGAAACTGTTCAGAGTGTCGGAACTGTTCTATATCTTGATTATGGTTACGGTTACAGGATTGTACACATTTACCAAAATTAATCAAATCGTATACTTAAAGGTTGGTGACTTTTGTAATATGTAAATAATAGTTTAAGAAATGAAAGGGAAAACTGCCATTTTGAATCAGCTATAACTATAGCAAAATGTATCCCCCAAAAGATTTGGGTGGTGAAACATTGATGTTTTATAAGTATTTCAAGGGACACAGACTTTTAGACACTCCTTTCTTACCTTCTCAGTCGCCCTGGTGAGAGAAGCTTTTGGGGTCTAGAATTAAATCAGTGGACTTTGGAGAAGGTGGTTTCTCTAAATCGTTGTTACTCTTTATAAGCAGTGTCCAATTGTAGCACCTATTGCTTACTTATCAAGTGCTGAGGGTGATAGCTATGGCACGGGAAAGGGAATCCTTACTGCGTCAGTGGTTGTACCATGGAGCTCTCACCATCCTAAAGCAAGCAGGGAACCCAAGATTCACTTCAATAAGCAAAGGCACCTTTTGCCTTTTGGGAAAGAGAGCTACATGCCGGATAAGGGGCTTCCCTAGCACCCAAAAAAGACCTAGAATGTGACTACTCAATATTGAGCAATACCTAACAGATACACAAATCCTAAATTTCAGTCTTTCTCTTTGGGTTTGACCTGTGATTTGTTATTGAAAACTACAATGCTGTGTCCAGGAAAGGATCAAAAAAGCTTTGGTTAGAGCTAAGATACAAATGGGACAACAAAAACAGCTATAAAAATGTTTATAGATTTTATGTGGACAAAATCAGGACCACACAATTCAGGATTTTAAAACATGTTCTTTTCTTCTCCAAGACACAAGTAAAGTTATATTACATGTTTCTTTCCTCTTTCTAACACACTTGCAGATTTACTCACTCACATTAACACTTAAATTAATTAGAATTATGTCAGTTAAGGGAATCCAAGAGCCTCTATAAATTGTATTAGCACCAAAACATGAAAAGTGACAGGCTCCAGAGGTTATCTACTCATTCTTCAGGACTTATTCCTAAATCAGGAATAGATGGCAATCTAAGGCGCTCAGGGCTCAAAAGAAAATAAGATGTCACTGCTTCTGCTGATGACCCATTTCCCTACCTAATAATCCCCAAATCTAGAAACTGACATCTAACCAGAACCTCTTCTACTCAAATTTCAGCTCAGGTCTTCTTTTGTCATTATCTGAGATGTCCATGGAAAAGAACCCTAAACATCATTCAACTACCACAACTTAGTAATTATAATATGTACAGGGACATAAAAAAATGTTAGCAAGGAATGTAACTACATTCCAAACATGTTTAAATGAAAGGCTGTACATTAAAATGCTAGTAGGAGTATATGTATTACAGGCATAAAAATGCAGTATTTTCCCAGTAAATCCATGGCCTGTGGTTTAAAATTCTAATATATGGTTAATAAATTACATAGAAGGGAGTGAAATCATTTATCATTTCATCATCTAAGCAATTCAACCAGCACAACTGAACTTTTTTTAGACTCACTAGGACAGAGAGGAAGTTGATCCACAGGAACAGTGGTTTTGTATCAGACAACTATTTACTTTGAACCCCACTCTCAAACAATTAGTTATTTTTATGGGTAAATCATAAACTGTTTCTTAAGAGCAATAAAAAATTATGCAGGGCTTCCCTGGTGGCACAGTGGTTGAGAGTCTGCCTGCCGATGCAGGGGACACGGGTTCGTGCCCTGTTCCGGAAGGATCCCACATGCCGTGGAGCGGCTGGGCCTGTGAGCCATGGCCACTGAGCCTATGCGTCCGGAGCCTGTGCTCCACAACGGGCGAGGCCACAGCAGTGAGAGGCCCGCGTACTGCAAAAAAAAAAAAAAAAAATTATGCAGCATATATAATTTTAGTTTCAAATGAGAGTTTAAATGTCTAGAAATTACAGCAAAACCAGGTAGTGCCAACATGAAAAATCAGTAAAAATTTCAAATTTTCTACAAAATTGAAGTGCTAATACCATACCATACCATACTTCAAAGTTTCTTTCCAAGACTGACCCATCTGTATTGCAGTTTGTACCTCCTTACAAAAGAAATGATATCAGTACTGAAGTTTACCTATCTAAAATAAAAGATATAACTGAATATGATCAGAATAGTAATTCAATGCACACTACTCACCATTCATGCATTGTTTCCCTATTCATTAAATCCATGGCTTCTTTCTGAAAGGTGAGAACGTGAGGATAAACTGAATGCCCTGTACCTATGATTTTACAAAGTTTTACTTCATTTGGCTGTACATTTATTATTATTCACTGGGCTATAGTAGAGCTAGAGTATAAACAAATCTCTAAACAAGTGTCTGGTTCTCTACTTTTCATTGTTGCATCTACCACACAGAGATCTATTACTTATGCATTATAGTACATTGGATATGCAGGAATTGATTAGATGAAAAACTTTGTACCTTTCTTCATTCAAAAGAGAAAACATCAAACATTAAACTATTTTTCCAACCATTAATACTATGATATTAACAAATAGTACTCACAGTCCAACAAACTAAATGTCTTTCAGCATGGGTTTGCTTAAGCAAATGATGGTACAAGCATGATTTAAATCTAGTCATTGACATTGAAAAACATGTATTACATATGAAGTAGGAAAAAACCACAAATGCTTTTTATGTAAAACTGTAAATGAGAGGTGCTCAGAAGGATGTTCCCCAAAAAGTTAACAGTACTTATCAATGAGTAGTGAGATCTGTGACAGTTTGTTCTTTCTTTCTCTGTACTTTACCATATTGTTTGACCTTTTTATAAGTATGCAAGTATTTTTCACATAAATAGTTACTTAAAAAAATAACCCACATATGGAAAGACATCCTGTGTTTGTGAATTGGAAGACTTAATATTGTTAAAAAGGCAATACTACCCAAAGTGATTTACAGATGCAAGGCAACCCCTATCAAAATCTCAATGGCATTTTCTGTCAAAATAGAAAAATGGCCTTGAGAAAGAATAAACTTGGGAGGACTACACTACCTGGTTTTAAAACTCACTACACAAAGCTACAGTAATCAAAACAGTGTGGTTCTGGCATAAGGACAGACATATAGATCAATGGAATAGAATAGAGAGAGCCTAGAAATAATCCCTTGTGTATATAGTCAATTGATTTTCAATAAGGATGCCAAGACCATTCAGTGGGGAAAGGACGGTCTTTTCAACAAATGGTGCTGGAAAACTGAACATCCACATGTGAAAGAATGAACACTTTCCTTACACCATATACAAAAGTTAACTCAAAATGGATCAAAGACCTAAAGTTAAAACTTAAAACTATAAAACTCTTAGAAGAAAACATAGGGCAAAAGCTTCATGTCATTGGATTTGGCAATGATTTTTTGGATATGATACACAGGTAACAAAAGAAAAAATAAATTGAACTTCATAAAAATTAAAATTTTTCTGCATCAAAAGAGAGTGAAAAGACAATCACAGAATTGGAGATGTTTGCAAATCATATATCTGATAAAGGATTAATATCCAGAATTTATAAAATATTCCTACAACTCAGTGACAACAACAAAACAACTCACTTGAAATACAGATGGTCCCCGATTTACAATGGTTCTGCTTATAATTTTTCAACTTTACGATGGTGCAAAAGCAATGTGCATTCAGTAGAAACCCTACTTCGATTTTGAATTTGACCTTTTCCCGGGCTAGTGATATGCAGTCAGATACTCTCTCGTGATGCTGAGCAGCGGCAGCCATGGCAGCTCCCTGTCGGCCATGCAATCACGAGGGTAAACATCCGATACCCTTACAGCCATTCTGTACCCAGACAACCATTCTGTTTTCACTTTCAGGACAGTATTCAATAAATTACATAAGATATTCCTTACTTTATTATAAAATAGGCTTTGTGTTAGATGACTTTGCCCAGCTGTAGGCTAATGTAAGTGTTCTGAGCACGTTTAAGATAGGCTAGGTTAAGCTATGATGTTCAGAATTTTGCTGCATTAAATGCATTTTCGTCTTAGGACATTTTTAACTTATGATAGGTTTATTGGGACATATGCCCATCACAAGTTGAGGAAAATCTGTATGGGCAAAGGACTTAAATAGATGTTCCTCCAAAAAAGATATAGAAATGGCCAATAAGCATATGAAAAGATGCTCAACATCATTTTTTATTAGGGAAATGCAAATCAAACCCATAATAAGATACTGCTTTACATGCATTAGGATAAGCATTATTTTAAAATATGGGGAAATAAAAACAAGTGTTGTTGAGAATGCAGAGAAACTGGAACATGAATTGCTAGTGGGAATGTAAAATGGTGCAAACTCTGGGAAAAAAATTGGTTTCTCAAAAAGTTAAAGATTAAATTATCATATGATCCAGCAATCCCATTCCTAGGTATATACCCAAAAGAATTGAAAGCAGGGACTCAAACAGATACTTGTATACCAGTGTTCATAGCAGCAGTATTCACAATAGCCAAAAGGTATCCTTTACCAGATGAATAGTTCTTTTAGATGGTATATACATACAATGGAATATTATTCAGCCACAGAAAGAATGAAGTTCTGACACATGCTACAATATGAATGAATCTTGAAAAGATTATGCTAAGTGAAATAAACCAAACACAAAAGAACAAATATTGTATGCTTCCACTTATATGAGCTACCTAGAATAGTCAAATGCATAGAGACAGAAAGTAGAACAGAGGTTACAGGAGTGGGAGGGTAGAATGGGGAGTTATTGCTGAATGGGTACGGAGTTTCTGTTTGGGATGATGAAAAAGTCCTGGAAGTGTAGAGTAGTGATGGCTGCCCAACATTGTGAATGTACTTAATACTATTGAATTGTAGTCTTAAAAATGGTTAAATGGTTAAAGAAAACCTCAACAACCCACAGTCCAAATTCATCCTGGCATTCCTAAAAACATACTTCACAAATAATGAAGAACTTAGGATGGTGCTGGGGAAATATGGTGCTAAATATTATGCGGAACATGAAATAAGCAGATGAGCCTTTCCTTAAAGAGGCCTAGAATCACATTGGAAAGACAAGCTTTATTATATACATTTAGTCAATCTCCAAAGTAAGCACAGTCATAGCCCAGGAGAAGAAAAAAGAAAACAAAATAGAAATTTAATTTATATACTTTAAAATCCAAGACAGTAAGAAATGAAAGCTTGCCGATATTAGACATACAGATTGACACTGGAGCCCTCACTCAGCCCATAGGGTCCAAAGATCTTGTGAGAGAAGAGCCTTTTTTTGGCCTTTAGCTAAGTACAACTAATTGCAGTTCGCCTGTGCCAGGTTAGGCAGGCATATGGATATATTATCTAGTTTTAACTAAACCAAGCACCGCAAAATGGACAAGTGCCTTAACAAGATTCCCACGAGAAACCTTGGACAGAGATTAGTAATGCAAGTCTGTGCAGACAACAACCTCTCCTGGCACAGCTTCTCATCAGCCACCTGACTGAAAACACAATGCTGAGCTAATCTGCTTTGTCAAGGAGCTGGCTAAAGTAATTCTAATCCTCAAGACCATTGGAAATACGAATTCATATTGACTCTCAATAATCATCTATAATTAATAAAATAAAATTTTAAAATTTCTAGAAACATCATTTCATCTTCATCTCACCCTTGTTATATCTCTAATCTTGCATATATTCTATGATTCACACTATATGCTGGCACTCAATATACACTATATTCACAGTATATGGTGATAATGTAAAAACAATAGACATAAATTGGAAGCATGTGCTCAGTTTTTATTGATGCAGTGCGTGATTAAAAGAGTTTAAATATTACTGTCTACAGTATAAACAATAAATGTCATAAATAGTCTGTAATAAAGAGTGGTGTGAGTTGTGTGACTTAAAATTTGACCTCGGCCTTGAAAGATGTTTAAAATCTGGACAAGCAGAGGGTGGAGGGGAGGCTGTAACAGCAGAAGGAACCATATGAACAGAAGTTTAGAGGAGAGAAAGTATATGGCAGGTTACACGGTAGTGAGACTAGTTTGGTTGAAAGGGAATTTGCACTACAGAGCAATGAGAAAGAAAACTGGTAAGAGCACCAGATTTATGGGATCTTAAATAATTGAAGAGATTGAATTTAAAGAGTTTGGGCAGAATAGCATAGCTGTTAGGACCACTGGTTTTGGAGCCAAACAGAACTGAGTCAAATCCCAGCTCTATAACTTACTACCTGTGTGACCTTAGGCAAGCAACTTAACCTGAGCCTCAGTTTCCTCATCCTATAAAGATGATAATAATAAGGATAATGACGTAGTTGTACAGTTCCTATTAAAAGGTCTGGCACGGGCTTCCCTGGTGGCGCAGTGGTTGAGAGTCCGCCTGCCGATGCAGGGGACATGGGTTCGTGCCCCGGTCCGGGAGGATCCCACATGCCGCGGAGCAGCTGGGCCCGTGAGCCATGGCCGCTGAGCTTGCGCGTCCGGAGCCTGTGATCCGCAGCGGGAGAGGCCACAACAGTGAGAGGCCTGCGTACCACAAAAAAACAAAACTAAACTAAAAAAGGTCTGGCACATAGTAAGTGCTCGATACAGCCTAGCTATTCTTCTTCTTATTATTATTCAGAAGGTAATGGGAAGACATTGTAACTTTTTGCACAGGAGAGAAAAAGATGAAAATAATGTTTTAAAAAAGATATTTTGGTGTTGGTTGTGGAAGTCGGATTAAATTAGCAGAGATAGGAAATCTATTAGAATATTATTACAGTAATCTGGACCCAAGGGACAGAAGGAAGTAGTAATGGGAACAGAGAAGGTATTGTCAAGGAAGAATTAATAGGATTAGATGCCTAATTGGATACAGTAGAAAAGTAAGGAAGAATTAAAGATGAGCCTAGAGCTTTGAGTCTTAAAACTGTGAGACTGACTATTTTGATGCCATTATGGAAAATGAGAGAAATTGGGAAAGGAAGTTTAAGAAGTTAATCAGTCTTTTAAAACAACGGAACAACAGTAAATCTTTTCAGCAAAATGTAATTGTTAGTATAGTTCTTCCATTTAATATTGACGTAGATGTAGATGTTTTCCTCTAGGGAGAAGCTCAAAGTATTTTGTAATTCACTCAATCCACAAGTAAAGAGCAAGTTTTCCCAGAACTAGGACAGAATTTTGCTTATTGTTTCTCCCACTGAAAGTTGGAGCATTCCCCAACATCAGCTATTTTAGGATCATTAGTAAAAGTGGGTTGACACTTTTATTATTTACATCTTGCCTATTTCCAAAACGGATATGAGATGGCTTATAATAAAATAAGATTGTTAAATTAAGGATTAAAAGTCAAGAGCCATATAACTGTCAAGGGCAAAGAGTATGCTAGAAACCTAGGTTAAGGAGAGTTGTTGTACTTGAGCACTGAACTTAGCTTTCAACTTTTTAGTATCTAAGGTAAAAATGAAAATAGGAAGTCACCCACTTTTGCTCTCTGAAGGAGAGTATGCTTGAAAGATTTTAGTTGCCCAGTGGCACCTTGCTCAATAAATGCTTGCTGAAAGAATGAAACAATTTGTAAACTAAGATCAAATTAAATTTCTTTTAAAACAAGCTAGGCTGTTCCCTTAGAGAAGGTCTCTTCATAAGAGAGACTAGGTACTTTGTAGGTTCCAAGGAAAACTCAAAAACAAATCACAGAAATCTAATGTCATTGCTTTACTAGACTAAAAAATGGTAACAAAGTCCACAAGACAGACTAACTGTGAAACCTGGCCAGCAGAAGAAAAAGCTCACAGGCACACCTTATGTAACAGACAATATCTAAATTGTCCCTATCACAATCATGCCCTGTACTCCAGCTGGTATAATCTGTTTTAAATGGCCTCATCTCATAAACTTCCCCTACATTTGTGTCTAAACCCAGTTTAATCTATCCAAACTAGGTAATATAAAAAGAAGACTGTAAAACGTGTGGCTAAAGTTCATATTTGTAAAGATATAAATACAAGGGATGCTAGAAATGCAGAGGTAGTATGTAAGTAGATAATTTTTTAATTGATTTTACTGAAGGCACTACAGAGAAAGTCAAGTTCTTATTGGGTACCAATGATTTTATTTTCTATTTAACAAGTCAGGAAATAAATGTAAAGTTATAGAATAATATGTTATGAACGAACTGTTACAGGTTCAATTGTTCCCCCCTCAAATCCATATGTTGAAGTCCTAACCCTCAGTGCCTCAGAATATGACTTTATTTGGAGAGAGGGTCTTAGCAGAGGTAATCAAGTTAGGATAAGGTCATTAATGTGGGCCCCAATCCAATACGACTAATGTCCTTATAAAAAGGAGAAATTTGGAGATAGACACTCGTACAAGGAGAATACCATGTGAACATGAAGATGGCCATCTACAAGCCAAGGAGAGAGGCCTGGAACAGATCCTTTTCTCACAGCCCTCCGAAGAAATTAATGCTGCCAACACCTTGATTTCAGATTTCTGGCCCCCAGAGCTGTGAGAAAATGAACTTCTGTTTAAGCCCCCAGTTTATGATACTTTGTTAGGGTAATCCTAGCAAACTAATACACAAACTATTTCTGCAGGGATGTTATTTGTTTAGGGGACTGGGAGAGAGGGAAATAAAGCCTGAGTGCTTTCAACCCTCTTGAAATATAAGCTCAATTGCTATTAGGAAAGGAAAATGACATAAAAAGAATAATTCCTGAATATTTAGGAAGAATTACTATGTTTAGAAAATCAACTTCCATGGTAATCATTTTTCAATATATACACATATCAAATTATTACGTTGTACACCTTACACTTAGACAATGTTATATGTCAATTATATCTCAAAGCTGAAAAAAAAAAGAAAATTAATTTCTAGCTTGATGTTCTCAAGCTCTCTAATACCAAGAAAACAACTAACAACCACAGTCAAAAAGAAATTTTCTGGGACTTCCCTGGTGGCGCAGTGGTTAAGAATCTGCCCGCCAATGCAGGGGACACGGGTTCGAGCCCTGGTCCGGGAAGATCCCAGCTGCCACGGAGCATCTAAGCCTGTGTACCACAACTATTGAGCCTGTGCTCTAGAGCCCACGAGCCACAATTACTGAGCCCGCGTGCCACAACTACTGAAGCCCGTGCGCCTAGAGCCCGTGCTCTGCAACAAGAAAAGCCACCACAATGAGAAGCCCGTGCACCGCAACAAAGAGTAGCCCCCGCTCACTGCAAAACTAGAGAAAAACCTGCGTGCAGCAAGGAAGACTTAACACAGCCAAAAATAAATAAATAAATTTAAAAATAAATAAGTAAATAAATGGCTTCATTTAAAAGAAGAAGAAGAAGAAATTGTCCATTAACTGCCTAATAGGAAAAGGGCAACTTAAACCATACCCTTACTTAAAAGTTGACCCAGAACCCAATATTGACTTGGGGCTGTGTGCTTGTTTTAGAATAAAAGCAAATCTAATCAAATCAGTTTGTAGAAAATACAGGGGATAAAAGAGCATATTAAACAGCACCACATGGAAGCAAAATCAGAATGTGGGGCTTTCCACAAGACAAATGGCCTAGTTTCTTCAATAAGGAAGTGTCATGGAACAAAAACAGGAGGGGAAGGCTGTTTCAAATAAGAGACCTAAAAGATCATGGTTGGAACATGTTTGAATCAGTGAAAAAGGCATTTTTTGAGAATCAGGAAAATTTAACCTGGACTGGTTATTAGATAAAATTAAGGAATAATTCTGTTAGATGTGATGATGGTATTGCAATTATGTAAAATAAAAAGTCCTCAGAGATTCATACTAAGTATTTAAGGGTAAAAAGATATTAGGGTTTTACTTTAAATCACACTCCTCCCCCCAAAACAGAAGGGGATAGTTGAAAAATGATGTACAAAATGTAATCAATAGTTGAAACTAGATATTGAATACATGGAGGTTCTTTTTTGCATGTTTTAAAATTTCCATTAAACGATTTTTAATTTAGTGTGCCAGGAACCACACATATATTAAATCCTTTCACCCTCACAAAAATCCTATGAAGTAGCTACTATTATTTCCCCCGTTTTGCTACAAAATGAAATTAAATAAATGCCTTTGTTAATGTCATTAGAGTGAAAGTTCAGAATGTAATGAGGCAAGAAACAGACATTTCTGTTTTGTACTTAAAAGGTTAAGTTCAACAGCTAAAAAGAAGTCATGGTTAAAGAATGCATGTAAAGAAATATGCAACTTAAGATATCTATCAGACAATTAAACTGCTGAAAATAAGTCTTAATTTTCCATTCAATCAGCACCCAGATTGAAAGTTAATGTTATTTCTATTTTCCCATTTCATTCATTTTCTACTTGTGTCTCATTTTATTTTATTTTAGCTTTAATTTTTGTTTTATAATTTTATTTAATTTTTTAAAATTTTAATTTATTTTTTACTGAAGTATAATTCACCTACAACACTATGTTAGTTCCAGGTGTACAACATAGTGATTCACTATTTCTATATATTACAAAAAATGATCACCATTTGTGTTTCATTTTAAATGTTTATAATATATATTCTGTCACTATGGAAGTAAGTTGCTTTACAATTTATATTACTAACCAGTTAAATTAGTCCTGATTTCAAGCTTCATAATCAAATAGAAACATGTAGTAATCAATTTAAAAATATTTGGTCTAATTTAGGGGAAGCAAAAAAAATACACAAGTAAACCAGAGGTCCCTTTAACTACTAGTTTTAGGCTCTTTCATTAAGAATTTCTTAAATAGCTACATACTCACAAAGACAAACAGTAAAAGAATGTCTTATTTACTAAAAAGTAAAAGGATCTTTTAAACCATACTTTCTTGCTAGTGGATGATAAGCTGGGTGTTAGGGAAGCCATGGTGTGAGGGAGAGAGGGAGAGAGGGAAAGGAAGCAGGAGCTGGAGCACAAAAAACTAGGGTTACGAGATACTCTGGGTTTTGTGCCACTGAAAATATGGTGAGGGTAGCTGTAAAAGAATCCGGTAATTTGGGGCTAAGTCTTGGCTTGACACTTGCTAACTCTGGACATTTGGTAAATTACTAACTTTCTGCCATCTTTGGTTTCTGACCTTATAAGTTTGTTGTGGGATGAAATGAGACCACAGATGAGACCTATTATAGTGCTAAGTGAGTAATAAGTGCTTCATAACAGTTAAGCGGCCCCGCCTTGAACAAAAGTCTGCTTGTAGTTGGGTGAAAAAATAATCCCACCACCTGTGGTGAAATGGCGATTTGATCTTTTGAGTTCTGTGGCTAATCCTTGGATAAATCAAAGATTTAATTCTGTATTAGGCTTTTGCTATTAAACACACACACACACACACACACACACACACACACACACACACAAAACGTAAGACAGTGAGGTACAATGTGTTCCTGAACTCAAATCACTGAGAAGTGAACACAGAATGGTAGCATAAAGATGGTTTTATGTGTCAAAAAAATTCTTCATCTGGGCATTTAAGAAAACCATGATAACTATGGCTATTATGAACCTGAAAATTAATTTTCATATATAGCATTCATCATCTTCTTTGAGATCCCTGAAAGAAATTAGATTCTAGGTAAAAGAGTATGCAGTATTTCGGGAAACTATCAGTTTATTAAGACAGTTAATAACCCAAATAAACAGAGGGCTCCTTAGTTGTTTTGGATTCTTTTTTCTTCTTTTTTTTTTTGTTTTTAGAGAAACCATTCCTGGAATTAAAAACTTAATCACATGTGACCTCACTTAGAATTACTGAACCACAGGTATTGTTTAAAAGAAAAATAAAATTTACTTTTTTTAATGAACAGCTGTCAGTTTCTCAAAACTTCTTCTTACTTGTTTGATTTGATGAAGGTGACTGGTGGAAGCCTGAATGGGAGAAGGTGGCACAAACTGAAATTTAAAATATAAAAGTCAAGTTTCCTTTAATGTTTCTGATTATTTCTAAACATTAATTAAGTCAATGTCGAATGGCTTAAAGTATTTCTTGAATGCCTAACGCATGCTAGCAACAGCATTAATTAAATTTAAAGTTTTTAAAAATTAAAAATCAAATTGAATCTTGCCTGAAAATTATATTACTTGAAAGTCTATATATACCATAACAGAACAAAATAATTGTTAACATAAATACGGGGCAGAACATCAATAGAACATTTTGTTTATCTCTAGCTGTCCCTTCCCAAAGCACTAAGATCTTAAAATCACCTCATTTTTCCTTGCCATTTTTAGCTCATTATTAAAGCTTAGTGATAGGCATTATCCAGAAAAAACTGAAACAGTCATTAAATCAGCAGCTAACTTAATAAGCATATAAAAGAAACAAACAAAATAATTCCAAATATCTTGGAATCTAGCTGGGGAAACTAAACTTTCATAATAAGGAATGAGTAAGGCAATCATGTTCAAGGAGTTCAACACATTTTACTCTTGCTTGGTCAGGTACTTGCTGTCTAGGCCCTTTCTCTTTTGCAGGACTATTTTCTCCTTTTTGGTCTTTTCTCAATGCTTATGAAGACCCATACAAGAGGGAAATGAAAGAATGCAGAGATTTAAAGCTGTGTGAAAATAAGGCTTGAAAATTACCTTTAGAATTCATTTATCAATTCTATCTGTAGCCTGGTTCGTTCTTGAAATGCTAGATAATGAATTTACCATAAATTATGTTCACATTATATCTTAAGATCACATTGAATTGTGTATTAAAACATATTTAATGAGCACCTACTATATGCTAAAGCACTGTGCTAGGCCCTGAGGATCCAAAGACAAATAAGACATTTTCCTGTCCTTGAGAAATTCAAAGTCCAGGTAGGGAAAACTAGGCCACAGGTAAGTGCCAGAACAAGTTAGGATTTGTAGGAATTCAAAGGACAGAGAATATGATTCTGCCCGGGGTCTTCGAGACGGCATCATAGAAGAGGGCAGGAATTCATTAGATGGAAAAGAGGAGGGAGGCTATTTCAGGGAGTGGGGAAGAGATGCTCAGGCAGAGAGCCATGTTTGGGGAACAGAGAGATTCAGGGTGACTGAAACTTGGCACATGATAGTGCATGGCAAGAAGCAAACTTGGGGGAAATTCGGCTGAAACCAGGTTGTTGTTTTTGTACTTTAGCCTTTGAGCCTAATAGGAAATCTAAAGCATAGGGCCCTCTGAGGTCTTAAACCTCAAAGGTATTTTAGACAAGAAGATCATATCTATTTTAGAAAGGCAACCCTAGCAGCATATGCAAAACAAATTGAGGGTGGAGGGAAGAGGCACTAGAAGCAGGGTCACGGGCCAGGTAAAAGATGACAAGGGTTTGACCGAAAAAGGGAGGGATGAAGACAAGGAGGCAGATTGGAGAAATGATAAGAAAGTAGAAAGAGCTAAAGGTTGGCCTGAGGGTTCTAGCTGAAACTATAGATGGGTGGTGGTCAAGAAAGGCAGTGAGAGGAGCGTGTTGGCCAAATAAATATTCTTATGAAGCAGATAGTCTGAATTTTTATTATGTTTTATAATTTATCATATGACTTTTAAAGGAGATATTACCTCGCCAATTAATATTTTTCTGAAGAAAGTGTTGAAATCAGTTTTTTTTCTCATCATTTGCTAGAAGATGGAGGAAACAGCCAAGGTTCAATGACATTGACACATCATCAACCAAAGTTCACAGCTCATATTAGAGTTCACTCTTGGTGTTATACATCCTATGGGTTTGGACAAATGTATAATAACACAAATCCATTGTTACAGTATCATACTGAGCAGTTTCCCTGCCCTGAAAATCCTCTGTGCTCCACCTATTCATCCTGATCTTTAATTTTTTCAGCAGAAATTGACTCACTTTCTTTCTCATTAAAGCAATCAATACATGCTCAGTATAAAACATAATTAATGGGGGAAAAAAGCATCATCCACTCTCCAGAGGTGACCACAGTAAATATTTCAGTGTTTATTTTTCCAGATACTATTTTGCAGTTTGAGTGTTTGGGTTTTTTCGATAACACATTCCAGCTCCACATCTGGGGCCACTTGCAGCTCTCAGCTCCTGGTCCAGCTTCTATCAAAATGTCTACTGTTCACAGAATTCTGTGCAAGTTTGACACTATCCACCTGACCACTGACTACTATCCACCCCCAATGTAGACAGGTCAGTCAAAGCATACACCAACTGGGATGCTGAGCGGGATGCTATGAACATTGAAACGGCCATCAAGACTAAAGGTGTGGATGAGGTCACCATCGTCAACATTTTGACCAACTGTAGCAATGAACAGAGACAGAATATTACTTTTGCCTATCAGAGAAGGACCAAAAAGGAACTTGCATCAGCACTGAAGTCAGACTTGTCCAGCCACCTGGAGAAGGTGATTTGGGGCCTTCTGAAAACACCCACTCAGTACGAGGATTCCAAGTTGAAAGCCTCCTCCATGAAGGGGCTGGTGACAGATGAAGACTCTCTCATTGAAATCACCTGCTCAGGGACCAACCAGGGGCTGCAGGAAATTAACAGTCTACAAGGAAATGTACAAGATTGATCTGGAGAAGGACATTGTTTCTTTTTCTTTTTTTAAATATTTATTTATTTATTTATTATTTTTGGCTGTGTCAGGTCTTAGTTGCGGCATGCAGGATCTTTCATTGCAGCGAGCTGGCTTCTCTCTACTTGTGGCACATGGGCTCTCTAAGTTGAGGTGTGTGGGCTCAGTTGCCCTGTGGCATGTGGGACCTTCGTTCCCCGACCAGGGATTGAACCGATGTCCCCTGCATTGGAAGGTGGATTTTTAACCACTGGACTACCAGGAAGTCCCAGGACATTGCTTCTGACACATCTGATGACTTCTGCAAGCTGATAGCTGCCCTCGCAAAGGGTAGAAGAACAGAGGATGGATCTGTCATTGACTATGAACTGACTGGCCCAACATACTTGAGATCTCTATAATGCTGGAATGAAGAGCAAAGGAACTGATGTTTCCAAGTGGATCGGCATCATGACAGAGAAGTGTGTGTCACCTCCAGAAAGTATTTGAAAGGTACAACAGCAATAGCCCTTATGATCAAGAAGGAGGGCAAAGGAGACCGGCAAAATGTTTTCCTGAACCTGTTCAAGTGTATTCAGAACAAGAAGTCCCTGTATTTTGCTGACTGACTGTACAACTCCATGAAGGGCAAGTGGACTCACGATACGGTCCTCATTCGAATCATGGTCTTCTGCAGTGAAGGAAGGGGACACATTGAAAATTAGGTCTGAATTCAAGAGAAAGTATGGCGGGCACTGCCACATCCAGGAGGACAGCAAGGGTAACCACTAGTAAGCGTCGCTGTGCCTGGGTGGTGGGGGTGATGCCTGAGATGGCACAAGTGTCCAGAAGTGGGGCTCCTATGATTCCAGGTGACAGTTCTAGAAACTCAGTTTGCAATTAGCAGCCCCCTTGTACCCATCCATCACCTTGCCTAAGCATTGCCTGACTTTCCCAGCAAGTTTCTCCTTTTAGCCAAAGAAATGAACATTCCAAGGAGTTGGAAGTGAAATCTATGATGTGAAACACTTTGCCTCTCTTGTACTGTATGGTAAACAGATGAATAAATTGAATTTTTACTTTAGAAACAAAACAAAAATTCACCTGCAACATCATTTTTAAAGGCTGAAAATTATACCATATAGAAGTACCATAATAATAAGAAGCACCTATTTACGTGCCAGACGTGTCTTATCTCACTCAATTCTCCCAACAACCCCATGACAGAATGGCACAATGGGAAATTTACACCAAAGATACCAGTGAGGTTTATTGACATCTCAGGAAACTAGTTCTATTTTAATACCTTGCTTCATGTAGAAAAATTGACATTATTATTGTCCCCATTTTAAAGATTAGGAAACTGATGGCCAGAGAAATTAAGCAACTTGCTCGGTCATACAGCTGATAATTGCTAGAACTGGGACTCAAACACAGATAAGGAAGGCTCATTCATTAAATCTGTTCCCTGTTGCTGGACATTCATACTGTTGCCACATTTTTTGCTTGCTTTTTATAAATAATGCTATGATAACCTTTAAACTAATCTTTGCACACATCCTTAGTGAATTCTTTAGGATAAATTCATAGAGTTGGAATTTCTGGGTCACAAAGCTGTTGATACGCATTGCTGACCTGCCCTACAGAAAGCTTATACAAATTCACTTTCCAGCAGTATATGAAAATATTGATTTCCTTGTACTTCTCCAACATTAGATATTATTGCTAATTAAAAAAAATGTATGCCCATTCTTAAGGCATACTGTAAAAAATAATCTATTTTCCAAAGCAAGTAGAAAATATTGTGATTTATCCAGTTTTGGATATTCCCCCCAATGTGCCCGTCTATTAGCATTGATCATTGAGAAGTTGTGCGGCAACATGCACCAAATCTGAAAAATTTAGGTTTACCTTTAAAAAGTTCAAATACATTGGGTTGGCCAAAAAGTTCGTTCGGATTTTAGGACCATGTTATAGAAAAACCCGAACGAACTTCTTGGCCAATCCAATATATATCCACACACATATCTTTGAACAAGCAGAATTTTAACAAGTTTAATTCATACTACTGATGCTCATATCATCCTCATTCAAATGCCCAGAAAGTTCACAATATAGAATGTGCAACACTAAGGTTTATAAGATTTATAATCTAATTGAAAGGACATGTTAACCTGAACTTAAATATATACATACACCCTACATACAGAAAAATATGGTACTTTAGCTGTTTTATAAATGACTGTTATTTTTTAAAAAGCCAAAAGAAGAGAATTGTATGGTGTGGCAAAATGTTCTAAACTAATTATGAAAGACTTCCTGGAAGAGATTATTTTTAATTGATATCTAAGAGATGGGAAGGAACCAGTTTAGTTTCAGGCAACGGCTCA